TTAGGACTGACCTTGCTTGGGCCTGCTGCCCTGCTACCACACCCCTTTGGGCAGCCATTCACACCAGCAGAGGTGCCGTTTTCCTGAGTGCTCGACCCCCACTCCGCCCCAGGCCCCGTCCCCCTCCATCCCTTCCCCCCAGAGCCTGCTGCGTGCCGCTGAACAGCTGATTGTGGTGGTCAGGAGGTGCTGGGAGGGAGGGGGAGGAGCTGATTGGCAGGGCTGCCTGTGGTTGCTGAGCACCCACTTTTTTTTTCCGTGGGTGCTCCAGCCCCGAAGCACCCAAGCACAGCAGCACATAGTGGCTGTAAAACGCTGGTCCTTGCAGCCTGGCAGCACTTGCTTTGCACAGATGCCAGTGCGGTGTTGCCCATGCTTGTGATCTGCAGTGTTTTTCTTGAAGCGCCAGCTCCCAGAGTCACATGACTACGTGAGGCTTGCCGCTTCCAGTGTTGAAACAAAGCGTGGCCCTTGTATTGGTAGAGAAACACTTGATCTCTAAAGGCCAGAAACAGACAGACACAACCCCACAAGGCAGACACAACCCCACCTACGCTTTGTCTTAAAATTCATGATTAAAAAAACCCTCATCATTTTGGGGGCAGGGTTCTGATGTATTTTTTGGTACCACCTCCCACCCCTCACCCCCAGCCTTCAAAAATCCTGAGTCAAGCCTCCAAAAATAATGAGAGTTGCGTAAAAACAATGAGTTTGTTTTTGAAATAATACATTTGGGCCTTGCGTTATTCATCTGCTGCTTTCTGAGCTTTTCGGGGGCCCTTCGGCCACGTTTGCATGCCTTCCTCTGCAACCAGGAGAGCTCGAGATGGAACGAAAGCTGAGCGGCTCCCCTAATCACATGCCTCTGGGAGCTGGGGCTTTAAAAACAACTCCCGATAACGCCGGTTTGGGATGCATGGTGCTGTCCTTGGCGGGTCAGGCATTGCTGGCCGGATCAGAGAGACCTGCTTTATAGCGAGGGATGGGGTGGTGTCAGTGCATAGTTTTGCAGCCAGGCTCAGGCCCGGCCTCTGCCAGGGGACAGCCCTTGCAGCGGTGACCCCCAGCTGCCCCGTGAGCAAAACCTTCCCACCAACCTGCATTGCAACTTTCCCTCCCAACTTCCTCCTCCAGCGGCCCCTCCCTTTACCAATCCGCAGCTTGTTACTAGGCAGAGTTGAAATCCAGCCGGCCAATCAACAGACAACTCTGATTTGTATCCGGGTAGAAAAGCCAGCCGCAGCCAATCATATTAATGAAAGGCCAAAGTCTCCGGGCAGCTCCGAGGGGTGTGAGCCAATCAGAAAAACACACCGGCAATCAGGGGATTTTGGGGTGGGTTTTTGATTCCCCCCCCCCTTGCAAGGCTAGTTGGTGCTTAGGTACTTTCTTTTTCTGTTTTGCAATTGCCCATGCCTGTAGTGGGTGCTTGGCAAGGGGGGGCGAGCCAGGGGCTTGAACCATGTTGCAGGGGCGCTCTCGCAAACCGGGGCCGCAACGCTGGGACTGAAAGGGCAGGTTGGCGGTGGACTCGGCGGCTGGGGTGCGTGCCTACTTCTCCGTTCCTGCAAACGCCCCTTGGGCAATTTGCCTCGCTCTAGAGGGGGGTTGTTGCGACCCGGAGAGCTGGGAGTAGGTGAGTTGCCTTTGTTTTGTCCCCAATCTCTTTCTTGCTTTGCAACATAGTCAAGGCGGGGGGGTGGGAAGGTTACAAAGTACCGGGCGCGTCCCGAGAGAGGAAATCGGTCTTGCAAAATCGTCATCAAAGGAGCGCACGAGAATCTGCTTTTCCAAACCAAAAACCGTAGTTTTAGTTGGGCCATGGTGTGTCTGGGCATTGCGGCTGCTGTCCGACCTTGGGACCGCGTGGAGGTGCGAAATTTCAGCCCCCCCCGTTGAAAATAAAAGATGAGATCTGGAAACACAGGTTGCAAAATAAAAATTGAGAGCGGAGGAGGGAGATTTCCCCAGCCTGGGGAGAGCGCGAAGTGGCAGGTCTGAAGCTGCGGCTCCCAGTCCAACTGCAGATATTTAAATCTCCCTCTTCGTGGGATTTTCCCCCCCACACTCCCCCCTGGGGCATTCCAGCCGTTAATTGATTTCCTCTCCGTGGGAGCACCTCTCCCTGAAGAAGGAAATCTAGATATAGGATCTGTAGCTAACCAGGCTACTCCGGAGCTGAGGTTTGCAGAATTGTAGCATTGCGTGCAAATTTCTTGTAGAAACTAATAATTAAATTAGCTCCAGTCTTCTGTTGAATGCAGGGTTATTAATGGAGCCTCCTTGAGCTCTGCTGAATCCTCCCTTTCGGATTAAACAGGGGAAAAACTCAGCAAAAACCTTATGGTCTTGCTCATTTGATTTGATTTTTGTTATTTATTTGTTTGGAAGGGAAATAGGACAAGAAGAAGAAGAACACTGTCTGGCGGAGGTAGTCGGAGCTGGGGCTGAGTGTCAGGACTCCTGGGTTCAATTCCTGGCCCTAGGAGGGAGTGCGGTCTAGTGGTCAGAACAGGGGAACTTGGCATTGGGACTGCAGCGTTCTGTTCCCAGCGCTGACACCCACCAACTTGCTGGGCGACTGTGGGG